TTTTAGTAATGGTTCTAGAAGTAGTCTGGGCTGATTGGGCAAAGCGTGGACACCTGGGAAAATTGACATGAGAAGACAATGAAAGTCACCAGGATCAGGAAGAAGTGACCATTGCCATCGTAGCTCTGGCTCTGCTGGTCAAGTTGGCCCTTGGTTTTGTGATTCTCTCCATTTGGGTGGAGACGGGGACCCCACTGCTGGGAGCCCCAGTCCCTGGACGCTGGCTGCACTGGGCAGCCGCTACAGTCCATCCATCAGCTGAGCCCACAGCTGCTCATGGAGCAGCTTCCCTGTTCCAGGCTCCCCAGCAGATCCGCCCCCGCAACTAGCTGCTCCTCCCCGCTTGGCCTGGGCCCCAGTCTCCTCATCAGTAAAGGGGGATTGCAGTCCCTGCCTGCCTGGGAGCGCGGCTGGGAGGACCACTAAGCTCAGGCCTGCGTTTCTGTTCAGTGCTAGGTGAAGATGAAGCAGTTGTGGGAGGAGCTGATATGAGCTTTTCTCCTCTTGAAAGAATAATATATGTCAAAGTTCTAGCCCAGCGGTGTGTTCAATGACTTTATATCCTGTCCATGTCCCACAAAGGACCGTGGTGGCTTTCTCTCCTTGAGAATGCTTCTGCTGCCATGGACAGAGCATGGGCTTTGGTCCTGAGGGTCCTACTACCTAGTGTGTGCCCTTGGGAAAGTCGCCCGCTGCCCCCGCAGGCTCGTTCCCTTACTGGATCTGGCCCAGCGTCTCCTAACCGAGGGGGTGCAGTCTGCACTCCACAGCACATGTGCCACACACCGCTGAGCCTCGGTGCAGGGAGGGTGCAAGGCAGAGGACGGGGGATGCTGCCAGGGAGCCCGTGCCCCAGCAGGGACCAGGTGGCCATAGAGGGAAATGATTCAGAGGGCAGGGACAGACCTGCATTCAAATCCTGTCTGTCATTGACTCGCCGAAAGGCCTTTGGTGAGCTACTCGATTTCTTTGCCTCAGTTCCCTTATCTTTGAAATGGGTGCGGCTTGTTGGAAGGCTTACAGGAACACTGTGAAGCACAGCAGTGGTGTGGAATAAGCTCCTGGTGCTTGTGAACTGCTCCAGGGCAGAGCTGGACCCTGCACCCATCCGTGGGTTCTCTCAGGAGCACACTGTCCCCTCCTCGCTCTGTGGGGTCTGACTAAACCCACAGCGACCGCGATTTCCAACTACAATCAAAAACAAAACTTGAGAGTGAGAAAGAGTCTCAGAATCAGAATGGTTCCGGAGAGCCCAGGACATGCGCCCCCACCCCCACCCCCCACGCCAGCCAGCGTGGTGCAGGGGGTCCAAGTGCAGAAGCCGTGTCCAGGCCCTGTTCCCAAGCGGTCCCTGCCACCTGCTTTGGGCGGCAGCTGTGCAGCTCCAGGGTTCTGCTCTTACCTGGGAACGCGGTGCTCTCTGTCCCTCAGTAGAGGCAGGTGGGCAGGATCGTATCCTGGGAAGGACGGGCCCCTGTGGTCCCCTGTGGAGCTGTCCGACCCTGACAAGCAGCGGGGATGAGCATAGAGGGACCTGAGCCACGTGCCTGGCAGTGACTGGGTGTTCGCAAAGCCAGGCCAGCCAGGTGACCAGTCCCCAAGACCTTCTGCCATGGTCCGGCTTTATCAGTGCCTCCCAGGAGAGTCTTGCTCATTCAGTCATTCATTCCTTGAATTCCTGCTGTGTGCCAGGCCGGGCGCTGAAGCTACAGAAATGCACCAGTCCTGGTCCCTGGCCAGGGGGCTCACGGCCTGGCCTCTTAGCAGGGTGGGTGGTGGTGGTGGTGGGAATCTTCTTTGGCATGGGTGGTGGTTATTACTCCCACTCTTCTCCCCTGGCTTGCTCTGAAACGTAGATCAGGAGCCACATCTGCCTCTACTCTGCTGCCTCCCAGCCCTGCCGGAGAGCGCTCCAGCCCGCCCCTCTCCTGAGCATCACCCTGAAGCTCTGCCCCTAGGCGGTCCCACCCTGAACTCTCTCTCCCTCTCTGGGACAGACAACTGCTTCTAGTCCTCTTCTTCCCTGTTTCCTTGTTTGCTCCTCCTCTAACCCCACTCTGCCCCTGGCCGGGGGCTGCCCTCCACAGCCTATCCCTCCCTGCTCCCTGCCCTCCCTCTGGGCTCCTCCTTCCCTGGCCTCCCCTCCTTGCCCCTTCTGACCCAGGGCTTCTCCCAGCCTCCCTCCCTCACTCCCCTCCTGCCTCTCCCGCTGCCCTCATTCCTCCTCCCGTCTCCTCCCTGGAGACCAGGAGCCGAGGCCTCTTCCAGAGAGAGCCAGTGAGAGCCCACAGGACCTACGGCTGGTGGGGAGCCTGCCTCTCTGCCCCCACCACTGCGTGCTCCTGCCCCCCTGGCTTACCTCCCTGCCCCCCGTAACTTTCTTTGTGCCCCATTCACCCATTCTCCAGAACCCTGCCTATCTGCCTCCTTCCTTCGCGGGGGGCGCTTGGTGCTGTCGTCATCCGTGTTTGCTGGCTCCTACAGCACATTCTCACTCCTCTCCCTTCCTCCCCCTCTTCCTCCGTCCCCGCCCCCCACCGCCACCTCTCCCAGGAGCAGGCTTCCTCTGCCTTCCCGTCCCCTCCCTCCCCCTTTCTCACCATGGCTGCCTCGGTAACCTGTCTTACCACTGGGGGCCGAGCATACAAAAAAATAAATAAATAAAAAGGTCAGTGAGTGGAGGGAGCAGCAATAACCCCTAAAACAGTACTATCAGTGGAACATGATTGATCAATTGAATTCCATAGCGGCTGAAAAATGTGGGATTAAGTAGTGTATTATACGCACAATGAGTTGAGGCATGATGTTCATTTCAAGTTCATTTCGCCGGCCTCTGCCACCAGATCAGGCAATCAATAGGGGCAGCAGATATCATATATCACCTCTCTGCGGGCTGGGGAGAGAGCACCATAATCTCTCGCAAATTTAGAGTGACAGATTTGTCAAGATCTGAAGGGCCCCTGAATAAATGAAGGCAAAGAGACTCCTCCAGCCAGTGACCTGAGGACAAAGCTCCAGCTCAGCCCCTAGACACTCACACAGACACACACACACACACTCACACTCACATGCCCCAGAGGCATGGGGTGAGCCAAGCCACACACAGGCAGGATGTGAGTCCTGCCACACGCCACACACACACACACACACACACACACATGCATGTAGTGAGTGTGCACGTGCTCACAGACAAATGCACACAGTGCTCCCCAGCACCCCCGTGGTGACCCTGCAGGAGCCACACACAAAGGCGCCAGCACTGCCTTCCCTGACGGTAAGACTTCCTCAAAAGGTAGCAGGGCTCCAGCGAGAGAGAACTGAGCCAATGGGCCATGTAGATAGCCAGCGGGGATGAACACATCCTGGAGACATGGAGGCAGGGGGCTCACGGTCCCATGCGGTCGCATGCACACACAGTCCTGTTGGAACCGTTCCTACTCCCTGGTGCACACACCCGCACCCACGCCCGTGTTTGGGTGTGTACGAACATGCAAGTGCGAACACACAGAGAATGCTCACTCCAAAGGGAGAGATAAACACAGCACACTCCGGCTCACGCATTGGAGACTGAACGCCATTCTGGAGCCTTACACAGGAAAAACCATGGAGTTTTGTGTCCATAGGAGCATAGACTACCCCCAAGGCTGCCTTGGCCAGCCTGCCGCAGCCTAGATTTCCATCTTGACTTCTCTCCCTCTCTGTGTGCATACGCGTACACACACACGCACAGACACACACTCTTTCTCTGCTTTCCCACCTCCTCCAGAACACAGTGTAGACAAAGATGGGAGGTCCCTTTAGGAAAACAGACCCCATGCTCTGTCTGGGAGTCCAGAGAGGGAGGATGGCTGCAGGTTGAGGCTAATCAATATGTAATATTTTCTATGGTCTCCTGCATGATACTGTACGGTGTTACTGTATATAATGCAATATTGATTATATCATATCGTATAATCACCTATAAACTGATATATATAACAGTCCCAGAGGAATACCCTGGGGCCCACAGCACAGGCTGGCCCCAGGCCCAAGGCTCCCCAGCTGGTGTTGGGCTGAGGGAAGCCGAGGAGCAGCCAGGCTGGGGCTGGGCGGGGGTACCCAGCTTTGGGCCAGGAGAGCCGCAGGGTGAGGGTTCAGGGAGAAGCAGCAGAGCAGGCACGTTCCCCTCAAGGGACCTGAAGCTGGAAGGCGGGGAAGGCAGAGCGGGGAGAAGCCTGGGGAGAGCTGGACACGGAGACAGGGTCGGCCCCGTGTCCTGGGGAGTGGGCACCACTTCCATCTGGAGTCAGTCTCAGCTCCCAGGGAGACCTCAGGAGGAAGCAGGTAGCCCAGGGGCTGGCACCAGATGGAGCCACAGAGCCCAGGTCAGAGCTAGAGGCGGAGCCGGGGCCAGAGCCCGGCAGCACCCTCCAGGCCCTCTGCGTCCCTGTCCACGTGCAGCCTCCCAGCTCCCATGACCCTGCTTCGTCCTGCTGCATCTCGTGCCTGGCACCGCCCCACGGAGCGCCTTGGCCGTGCTCTCGGAGCCCCTCCCGATGCAGGGATCTTAATTACTTTACCCCGTCTCTGTGTTACACTCAGCCTTGGAGATTTCATGATTTTCAACCCTTGGAATCAGTGGAACTGAAATTCATCTTGGAGCCGGGTCCAATTCTCCACAGGCTCACTGATGCCAGCTTGAGACACCCATCTCCTCCTCCAGGCGGGCCCAGGGGACAGGTTCCCTGGGGAGCAGCCCCTGAGCGCCCCTCTGGCCCCACCTCTGCCCAGTCCTTCCTGACCCCCACACTGGGACCCCTTCCCTCTTTCTTCCTAGGTCCCTCAGAGGCCCTGGCTTCCTCAACCAGGACTGAGGCAGGGCCAGCCTCCTGGGCCAGCCCCTGCAGCCTGGGTGCTGGGAGTAAGGGGTCCTGGCAGGTGTGCGGAGTGCTGGGGACCAGAGCCAGGTGCCTGTGTCTCTGGCCTGGTGCTAATGCCCCAGGTGTCTGTGTGTTCTCCAGATGTGTCCGAGGGCTCGGTCCCCAATGGAGACTCCCAGAGTGGCGTGGACAGTTTGCGGAAGCACTTGCGAGCTGACACCTTCACCCAGCAGCAGCTGGAGGCTTTGGATCGGGTCTTTGAGCGTCCTTCCTACCCTGACGTCTTCCAGGCATCAGAGCACATCAAATCAGAACAGGTGAGGAGGGCGCTGCCTGCCTGCAGAAGTGGAAAGGAACTGAGCACAACAAGGCTTCCTGGGCACTTGAACACAGAACACCATGTGCAAAGCAGCACGCACACGTTACGTACAGGTGCATGTGCGTGGGCTGTGTGCACATGCTTGCACAAACCCATGATGGAAGAGTAATGAAAAATCAGCCCGGCATATGCTAATTAGAAATGATGAGTTTTGGGTGCCAGAGTCTGGCCTTGGAGAAATCTGACCTCATTTTCTCCATCTATAGAATGAAAGGCTTGGACATGAGATCTACCAAGTCCCTTCCGGCCCTGACATTCTTTAGTTCGGGCATGGAGCACTCAGGAATGTCAGCTTCCTGTGTGCCTTGTCCTCGCCCCAGGCTCTGTAGAAAGTCTGGGCGGGCCTGCGGTGCTCTCTGCCCACCTGTGCCTGCCTCCTGCTGCCCAGCCAGCTACCCAGGGTGACCCCAAGTGAGCGACAGCCTACCCCATACACCCAACACTTTAGATGGGACAGGTCGGAGCATGGCCTGGGATGCACAGCATGCAATGCAGGAACTCAGCCCCGACTGCTGATCTTTCTCCATGCGCTTATGCCACCACATCCACCTGCTCCCTTCCACGCACCCAGTGCACGCTGTTGGCAGCACAGCCTCATCAGCTGAATGGACCCAGGAGCGTGTGCTGCCCCAGGTCCCCAGCTCAGCACGCCCCCACCCACTGCTCAGTGACAGGGCATGCTGCTGCTCCCCCTCACACACACACACAGTCCATGCCAGGGCCACAGCCCACTGCGACACCGCCCACCCTGCTGTTGCACGCGCACACACCCACACACGTGCTCGCCAACACAGCCCTACAGGCTCCACACACCACAGTTCCGCTCTGAGACTCCAACAGCTCCTAGTCACTCGCCTTCCTCCCCGCCCGTCCTTTTATCCCATAAGCTGTTTGTCTTCATAAAACAAAAATCAAAAGTCTTTTTAAGGTGCCCTGAGCCATAAACCAACAAAGGAGGAGCCGGCCGAGGCGGGCGGCTCGGTGCACCCTCCCTGAGTCCCCGGCTGTATTACAATGAATAACCTTTATTTACTTTCATTAGACTATTAAACACCAGCACAGTCATTTTTCCCCCTGAAACTCGGAGCAGGGCCCATAAAGCAAATCCGAAGCCTAATTGAGTTCATTTTAATTTCTCTCCGATCACAGCGAATTACTCTGGTGATAAATCAGGGGGCAGCTTCACCCCCAGTAGAAGGCCTAATTTGCAGCTAATTACAAAACTGATTTCTACAGGAAGATCAATACGAGAAGGAATTGGAAATGACGAGGCAATCCCGTCCAGCCAGGGAGGGGAGGGGGCCCTCTGGGGGGGCCAGGAAGCGGAAGGGAAAAAAACGGACCCGAAAGAGCAGAAAATCAGTTTTAATTTAACGTAATATTAATCAGAGCAACTTTTCCTGCTTTGTGCAGGCTCTCGGTCTGCCCGGCTCTGGGGTCTGGCTTGGCGGTGGCTGCAATAAAAAGGCAATTACCCGAGTGTTTCGGGCAGGACACCCTTTCAGAATCAATGACCGGCCCCCTCCCACCCTTCTGTTGGCCATGTGGACTCTCCCCCTCCCCAATTTCATACCCCAGTGCACAGGCAGAGAGCGAGGGGCCCGTGGGGCTGTCTTTGTTTGTTTTTAAAAAAGGGGTGCCCATGCCCCATCAGTGAGCTGAGCAGTGCCAGCCCGGAGGTCCCACAAGGCCCATCCCCTGTCAGGGATCACCCCTCCTCCCCAAGGCTCCCCACCCAAGGACCGCCTTGCTGCCCCACACCCCGGAGTCAGGGAGCAGCCCCACACACACATTCTGCCCCGGGCCTTTTCAGGGCCGAGGTGGGATGAAAGTGCAGAGGGTGCTGGGGTAAGCACGCAGGTAGGCTCCGCCTCCCACGTCACCAAGCGGATTGATCCCCACCTGCACCACACTCGCGCCCCGCCCCATCAGCCCCCCTCTGCCTGGCCCTCGCCTTCCACCCCATCTGGGAGGGCCCCCCGTTCCTCCTCCCCATCTGCACTCTGTGTGTGCGCATCAATAGAGAGCTGTCGCTTTTCTCTGCCCTCCCAGGGGAACGAGTACTCCCTCCCAGCTCTGACCCCTGGGCTTGATGAAGTCAAGTCGAGTCTATCTGCGTCCACCAACCCCGAGCTGGGCAGCAACGTGTCAGGCACGCAGACATACCCCGTTGTGGCCGGTAAGGGGGCTTCCGGGCGGGTGGGGGCCCCGCTTCGCGTTCGGGCACCTTGGCCCACGCCATCTGGGACCCAGGGTGCCCCCTGAACAGACGTGTGTGTATGTGCAGAGAACAAAGTGTGGTCCGTGTGTGTGGGTTCAGCCAGAGAAAGCTGACACTTCAGAGAGGCTGGCGCTGGGTCTTTGTGCCTATCCCCCTGTCTCTCTCTTGCCTCCCGCAAGGTGCCTGGTCTCCTGAGCCCCTCCACAGGCCATGCGCAGAGGGCAAATAGGTCAGGCTGGCAAGAGGGGAGCGTGGGTGCCTTGTGTCTGTGTCCCTCGGGCTCCTGGGAGGCCTGTTTGCCTCTCCCTGCAGGCAGCACAGTGGCTGTGGCTTTGGGCTCGAGGGCGTGGCACCCAGTTCTATGGCATTCTCCATTGTCCCTGCTCTGTCTGTTTCCCAGAGAAGTCAACAAGGCCAGGTTTCAAGACCAGATGTGGTCAGGCCTGACCCACGGTCACATACAGGGGGCAGGGCACCGTGGCCAGGAGCCCCCATGGGTCAGGAGCAGCAAAGACCGCCGGGGAGACTGTGCAGGGAAAGGCCCAGCAACCGACGCCCCAGGCCGCAGAGCTGCAGGCTGCAGAAGGCGCCTGGCACCGCAGAAGGCTTTCTGGGCCAGGAGAGGGCCCAAGTGGGAGAGACACACATCGCAGTGTTATTAAAATTCACCTAATTATGCTGTAGACAGTAAAGCCAATGTGCCGTTTGCTCCTTGGGAGACAGGATGATGGAGAAGAATCTCTGTGGGGACTGGGAGATGCTGAGGCGTTACCTGCCGAGCAAGGCGAGTGGAAGCAACCTGGGGACCCGGCAGCCAGCATCCCAGCCAGAGGCAAAGATGGGTTGCCGGGGCGGACCCCTCACGGCAGGATGGGCCTCTGCCTCTGGTGGTGGCTTGGAGCTGATCTGAGCAAGGCCCGAGCCCGATACGGGCTTCTTGAGCTCACTCAGCCATTTCCTGGGGGTGAGGGAGAGCCCTCAACCCTCCCAGATTCTCCTGAAGGGGGCTCCTGGTCCAGCCGTTTCCAGGCTACATGGAGTTGGGCTGTCAGGCCAGGGTGTCAGTCACAGGGCTTGTTGCGGAAGGACTGGGGAACCAGACTGGACTTTGACAAGTGATCAGGCAGGCAGTCAGGGCAGCCCGGGGCCCACTGGCCCCCAGCACAGGCCCTCCTCAACCTGCCTTAGAAGCCCCAAACCTCTCTCCAGATCACTGAGAGGCCTCGTGGTCACCCCCACGGTGGCCCCGGGCCACTAGGGAAAGCGCAGCCAAGAGGCTTTCTCCCAGCCCAGCTGTGCTGCCCGAAGCTCAGGGACTTCCTGGGGTGGAGACCCGGGCCTCGGGGGTAGGGCTCCTGCTGCAGGAGACCCTGGGGCTGGCGCCGCGAAGTGCCTCCACCTTGAGCAGCCCCCACCCGCTTCCCCCCCATGGCCCTGGAACGGTCCCAGCTCAGCCTGGGAACATCTCCGGCTGATCCATCTGGATCCAAGTGTGAGAAAAGTTCATTTCAGACCCAGCTTGACATTCCCAGGTGGCAAGTTAGCACTAACATCTCAATCTGTATGCGACATTTCAATCAAGCGAGGAGTAACAAAAGCAGAACCATTAACATTCGGAGCTGTTCACCAGTGGTAATGACGGGGAAACTCGCTCAGAAACTGGAAATTACCAAAAAGAGAGAAGTGTGTGCGAGGTGGGGGCGGGGCGCCGGGGTGGGGGCAGGGAATGATTTTTCCACACTGAGGCCAAGATCCAGTGTGTGGATTAATAGTGCCATTACTGAGAGAGGGCTGCAGATTACGCTCATTCTTAAAATGTTCTTGCTGGCAATTAAACGGCTGCAGCTATTGATCTTTGTTGATTTTATGTCCCCCTAATTTGCATAATCTATTAAAGATGAATGATTCATGATGTGTTTATTATGGGGACAAACAGAACTTGCTGGAGGTACTGTCAAGGTGAGAAACGGGGCATCGCCCAGAGACGTCCTGGGCCATCTCAGGAGTGGGTCCAGCATGCTGGCCTTCGGGCCAGGGCTTTGCACGTGGTAAAGAGAACAGACGCAGGGGCCGTGGACTCTGGGTGAGTTCTGGGAGGACGGTGGCGTCTGTGAGGACTGAGCCCCAAGCAGGGCCAGGGAATAAGAGAGGTTTTTGGTCTGTGACTGTTCGTAGAAGTTGCTGTCAGAGATTCTTCAAAAGCTTGTTCATTGGCGACACAAAGGGTTTCAGTGGAGGAAGAGCAGTGGGGCTCCCTCAGGCGGGCAGGCGACTGTGAGCAGGTGTGTGCTGAAGGTGAGAGTAGTGAGGTCACACTGGGCCCACAGCCTGGTGCTCACGGGGCCCCCTTGGCTCCCCGGTCTCGGGCACCCGCTCATCTTCTCCCCCGAGGACAGCCAGCCAGGGCTGCAGACCCTAAGGGCTGGCCCAGGAGGCCCTGGCCTCTACCTTATTGAGATTCCTGCCGCCTGCTGCCATCGGAGGCTGATTGCAAACTTCAGCAGCCACTTGATGCAGCTGTTCCACAAGGTCAGGGCCGAGAGGAGAGAGGCGCTGGACTGCTGTGGGGAGGAGAGAGGGAGGCCCAGTGGGCCAGGACACAGATAATCACATTGCAAGCAAGGGTGGCTGCCGCCGGCTCTGGCTCAGCCCGATAGCCGTCCCTCCCCGCCCTCCCCAGTGGAACCAAGCAGAGAGACTGATTTTTTCTGGGTGGTGTTTGCGAGTTCTGTCGAGATTTTAATTTCACTGCATCACAACTCAGCAAGCTGCCAAGTCAAGCTGGTTATTTAAATTTATCACCCACTCTCCCCTCCACCGCTGGGCTGCTCCTGCGCGGCAGCCCTCTCCTCTCCAGCCCACTGCTCCGGGCTGCGGGTCTGGAACGGAGCCGAGTTTCTCCCAAGTGATAAGGGAAAGGGGGCCAGCCAAATGAGAGAGTGAGTGGGGGGCAGGCCGGCCCCAGGCGCCTCCCGCCTTCTTACCTCTCTCAAGGCCACCACGGGGGCCACCTACACCCCTCGGAAGTCCTAGGGCTCTCTCTGGCAGGACCTGTGCAGTGAGGAGATGGGCAGCCTCAGGCTGGAACCTCCATTCCTTTTTTTTTTTTTTTTTTTTTGGTAAAGATTTATTTATTTATTTGAAAGGCAGAGGTACAGAGGGGCAGAGGCAGAGAGAGAGGTCTTTCACCTGCTGGTTCACTCCCCAAATGGCCGCAACAGTCAGAGCTGGGCCAATCTGAAGCCAGGAGCCAAGAACCTCTTCTGGGTCTTCCATGTGGGTGCAGGGGCCCAAGGACCTGGGCCATCTTCTACTGCTTTCCCAGGCCACAGCAGAGAGCTGGATGGGAAGTGGAGCAGCCAGGACTCGAACCGGTGCCTATATGGGATGCCAGCACTGCAGGTAGAGGCTTTACCCGCTACACCACAGTCCCTGGAGCCTTCATTCCTTAGTCCTGCTAGAAAGGACAGCATCACTTCCCAGAGTCCCTGCCCCAGTGGAGCCTGTAATGAGAGAGGAGCTTGCGGAGATGCCGGCATTGTTGTTGACCTGGGAGGAGAGGAGAACTTAGCGTCAGGATTCCCAAGCAGCTGGAAATTCTTCTGAGTGTTCTCGGCATCCCTGGGCCTGGCCGAAGTCCCGCTGGAGGTGAGAGCAGGCCTCCTGCGCAGAGCCCAGGGGGCTGAGGTGGTGCTGGAGGAACTGCGCAGCTCCACGCTCGTGCTAGAAACTGAGCAACTGCCTGGTGCCCGGTGCGCCACCGGGGCTTCCCTGCCAAGCCCTGGGGGGCCTCGTGCAGGTGTAGCCTCACCCTGCTCTGACGCTGTCAGTTACAGAGCGGTAATGGAGGGGTGAGGCTCAGCTCACCAAGACATAGCTCATAGATAGAAAGTAACGACAAAAACAGTCATGGACAGCCGGACCTCACTCTCTGGTGCCAGGATTCGAGGGAAACAAACCCACAGCAGCCTGCGGGAGACTGCTGCTGTCAGACGGGAGGCAGACCCCAACTGGGGGATGTCGGTGTTGTAACTGCAGCCGGGCCCAGGGCCTTGGGCCCACAAGAAGCAGGAAGCTGCCACTGAGACACCCCGCCTAAAGCCAGCAACAGAACAAGGACAACAGTCTCCACGCAGTGGACACACAGACTCATCCCAGAGGCCCGGGAAAGGGGATGAGGGAGAAATGGAGACCCCCAGCCTGACCCTGCGTCAAGGTCCAAATTTATACCAGGAGCGTGTGGCAGGACTTGGAAAGCGCAGCAGAAACATCCTCTCTGGAGGGACATTTTGCTGCCCAGGGACAAACGCCAAAGATGAGCTCCCTGTAGGGACACACACAGTTGTGTGAGCACAGGCTATTGGGGGGAGTCAGCAAAAGCCACGCACAGACGAGTGTGCACCCCAAGAACTGGGCATAACAGAGTAATCCCAAAGCGACTCTACACTAGGCATGTTCAGTCTCCTAAAAAGATCCACGAGGATGGTTGGGTCAGCATCAGAGATCCAGATCCCCCAGGCCCCTCCCCCACCCCTGCAAAGAGAATGGAGACCAAAAAGGGCAAAGAACGAAGCTCACTCCTGTAATTTATTGTTTGGGGTCAAGAAGCCCCACAAAGAGCTGAGCTCTGAAAGTAGAGGCTGTTCCTGGCTTCCAGGTTCCCCAACTGCTGCATCTCAGCAGAGTCTGTCACCCAGTGTCTGAACGTTAGAGAGCCCGGAACAGGAGCAATCCTCTGTCTCCAGCAGCCGTCGCAGGCGGGGAGCCTCGTCAGCTTCCTCGCCCTGCTCGGGGAAGATGGTTCTGTTTAAGAGTCTGGGAGAACTCTTCCTGATGCCCAGAGAAGGAAGCCAGGTGGGCTGCCACTCAGGAGGGAGGTGCCCAAGGCAGAAGGGTGCTGGTCTCCTGGAAGCTGGCAAGTTCGAGCAGGGTGGGGAGACCAGGCCAGTGAGCTGAAG